TTAGGTGTCCAGGAAGCAAAGATGATCAAAGGGTAAGAAAAGAGTTGCAATTAAGAAAATAAAATCAAATTAGAAGAGAGAATCCCTCAACATCTTTGGTAGTGTCCACGAAGTCGAGCATAACTCTCTCATCCGGACTCCAAATCGACTGGTTCTGGTGGCATTAGAAAGCTATTTCAGTGGGCTACCGTCTAACGTCAAAATTCCAAATTCGGACTCGAACATGGTCAAAATTGGATAACAAAAGCGATCATGAAAATACGTACTACAATTCAAGGACGTGAATGCGCATCAAGAAACGTGCACAAAAACACTCGCTAGAAAAGATACGCACATGAGTAAAAGTTCAAAAGCATGCACGAAAGTACTCACGCAAAAGTGCATTCGCAAAAAAGATCATGAAAACACAAACTACAATCCTAGGACATAAATACAAATCAACGAACATGCACAAACACGCTCCCTCAAATGGACATGCACAAAAACGTACATGTAAAAAAACATGCGCAAAAGTGCATCCGCAACAACATTCTTAAAAACACGAACTACAATACTATGACTTTAATACGCATCAACAGACAACAGCAAAAACACTAGATAAAAAAGATACAATCGAGTGTAGCAATAATACTCGACGTTTACGTTTTCGTGGCTTTTTGTTTGGATTAATTTATATTTCTATTTTTATTGGTGGATTTGGTATCTTTTAGGTACAAATCGAAAATTAGGTGTCCATGAAGCAAAAATAATCAAAGGGTAAGAAAAGAGTTGCAATTAAGAAAATAAAATAAAATTAGAAGAGAGAATCCCTCAACATCTTTGGTAGTGTCCACGAAGTCGAGCATAACTCTCTCATCCGGACTCCAAATCGACTGGTTCCAGTGGCATTAGAAAGCAATTTCAGTGGGCTACAATTCCCGTCTAACGCCAAAATTCCAAATTCGGACTCGAACATGGTCAAAATTGGATAACAAAAGCGATCATGAAAATACGTACTACAATTCAAGGACGTGAATGCGCATCAAGAAACGTGCACAAAAACAATCGCTAGAAAAGATACGCACATGAGTAAAAGTTCAAAAGCATGCACAAAAGTACTCACGCAAAAGTGCATTCGCAAAAAGGATCATGAAAACACAAACTACAATCCTAGGACATTAATACAAATCAACAAACATGCACAAACACGCTCCCTCAAATGGACATGCACAAAAACGTACATGTAAAAAAACATGCGCAAAAGTGCATCCGCAACAACATTCTTAAAAACACGAACTACAATACTATGACTTTAATATGCATCAACAGACAACAGCAAAAACACTAGATAAAAAAGATACAATCGAGTGTAGCAATAATACTCGACGTTTACGTTTTCGTGGCTTTTTGTTTGGATTAATTTATATTTCTGTTGGATGTGGTGTATTTTAGGTACAAATAGATAATTAGGTGTCCTGGTAGCAAGATCGTTCAAAGGGTAAGTATAGCGTTGCTATTAGGAAAATAAAATCAAATTAGAAGATAGAATCCCTCAACATCTTTGGTAGTGTCCTCGAAGTCGAGCATAACTCTCTCTTCCTGACTGCAAATCGACTGGTTCCGGTGGCATTAGAAAGATATTTCTGTGGGTTACAATTACCGTTTAACGTCAAATTTACAAATTGGGACTCGATCAGGGTCAAAATTGGATAACAAAAGCGATCATGAAAATACGTACTACAATTCAAGGACGTGAATGCGCATCAAGAAACGTGCACAAAAACACTCGCTAGAAAAGATACGCACATGAGTAAAAGTTCAAAAGCATGCACAAATGTACTCACGCAAAAGTGCATTCGCAAAAAGGATCAAGAAAACACAAACTACAACCCTAGGACATTAATACCAATCAACAAACATGCACAAGCACGCTCCCTCAAATGGACATGCACAAAAACGTACATGTAAAAAAACATGCGCAAAAGTGCATCCGCAACAACATTCTTAAAAACACGAACTACAATACTATGACTTTAATACGCATCAACAGACAACAGCCAAAACACTAGATAAAAAAGATACAATCGAGTGTAGCAATAATACTCGACGTTTACGTTTTCGTGGCTTTTTGTTTGGATTAATTTATATTTCTGTTTTTATTGGTGGATTTGGTATCTTTTAGGTACAAATCGAAAATTAGGTGTCCATGAAGCAAAAATAATCAAAGGGTAAGAAAAGAGTTGCAATTAAGAAAATAAAATCAAATTAGAAGAGAGAATCCCTCAACATCTTTGGTAGTGTCCACGAAGTCGAGCATAACTCTCTCATCCGGACTCCAAATCGACTGGTTCCGGTGGCATTAGAAAGCTATTTCAGTGGGCTACAATTCCCGTCTAACGTCAAAATTCCAAATTCGGACTCGAACATGGTCAAAATTGGATAACAAAAGCGATCATGAAAATACGTACTACAATTCAAGGACGTGAATGCGCATCAAGAAACGTGCACAAAAACACTCGCTAGAAAAGATACGCTCATGAGTAAAAGTTCAAAAGCATGCACAAAAGTACTCACGCAAAAGTGCATTCGCAAAAAGGATCATGAAAACACAAACTACAATCCTAGGACATTAATACAAATCAACAAACATGCACAAACACGCTCCCTCAAATGGACATGCACAAAAACATACATGTAAAAAAACATGCGCAAAAGTGCATCCGCAACAACATTTTTAAAAACACGAACTACAATACTATGACTTTGATACGCATCTGCAGACAACAGCAAAAACACTAGATAAAAAAGATACAATCGAGAGTAGCAATAATACTCGACGTTTTCGTTTTCGTGGCTTTTTGTTTGGATTAATTTATATTTCTGTTTTTATTGGTGGATTTGGTATCTTTTAGGTACAAATTGAAAATTAGGTGTCCATGAAGCAAAAATAATCAAAGGGTAAGAAAAGAGTTGCAATTACGAAAATAAAATCAAATTAGAAGAGAGAATCCCTCAACATCTTTGGTAGTGTCCACGAAGTCGAGCATAACTCTCTCATCCGGACTCCAAATCGACTGGTTCCGGTGGCATTAGAAAGCTATTTCAGTGGGCTACAATTCTTGTCTAACGTCAAAATTCCAAATTCGGACTCGAACATGGTCAAAATTGGATAACAAAAGTGATCATGAAAATACGTACTACAATTCAAGGACGTGAATGCGCATCAAGAAACGTGCACAAAAACACTCGCTAGAAAAGATACGCACATGAGTAAAAGTTCAAAAGCATGCACAAAAGTACTCACGCAAAAGTGCATTCGCAAAAAGGATCATGAAAACACAAACTACAATCCTAGGACATTAATACAAATCAACAAACATGCACAAACACGCTCCCTCAAATGGACATGCACAAAAACATACATGTAAAAAAACATGCGCAAAAGTGCATCCGCAACAACATTCTTAAAAACACGAACTACAATACTATGACTTTAATACGCATCAACAGACAACAGCAAAAACACTACATAAAAAACATACAATGGAGTGTAGCAATAATACTCGACGTTTACGTTTACGTGGATTTTTGTTTGGATTAGTTTATATTTCTGTTTTTATTGGTGGATTGGTATCTTTTAGGTACAAATCGAAAATTAGGTGTCCAGGAAGCAAAAATGATCAAAGGGTAAGAAAAGAGTTGCAATTAAGAAAATAAAATCAAATTAGAAGAGAGAATCCCTCAACATCTTTGGTAGTGTCCACGAAGTCGAGCATAACTCTCTCATCCGGACTCCAAATCGACTGGTTCTGGTGGCATTAGAAAGCTATTTCAGTGGGCTACCGTCTAACGTCAAAATTCCAAATTCGGACTCGAACATGGTCAAAATTGGATAACAAAAGCGATCATGAAAATACGTACTACAATTCAAGGACGTGAATGCGCATCAAGAAACGTGCACAAAAACACTCGCTAGAAAAGATACGCACATGAGTAAAAGTTCAAAAGCATGCACGAAAGTACTCACGCAAAAGTGCATTCGCAAAAAAGATCATGAAAACACAAACTACAATCCTAGGACATAAATACAAATCAACGAACATGCACAAACACGCTCCCTCAAATGGACATGCACAAAAACGTACATGTAAAAAAACATGCGCAAAAGTGCATCCGCAACAACATTCTTAAAAACACGAACTACAATACTATGACTTTAATACGCATCAACAGACAACAGCAAAAACACTAGATAAAAAAGATACAATTGATATCAATAATACTCGACGTTTACGTTTTCGTGGATTTTTGTTTGGATTAATTTATATTTCTGTTTTTATTGGTGGATTTGGTATCTTTTAGGTACAAATCGAAAATTAGGTGTCCATGAAGCAAAAATAATCAAAGGGTAAGAAAAGAGTTGCAATTAAGTAAATAAAATAAAAGGGTAAATTGCATTTAACCCCCCTGTGGTTTCATCGTTTGGCACTTTACCCCCCTCTGATATCGATTTGGGCACTTAACCCCCCTAGGGTTGTCCAATTGTAGCGGCCGTCTAAAAATCCGTTAAAGTTAACCGTGAGTGCATCTCACTCGCCCAAAATTGAAGTGGTTAAAGATTTTCCAAGATTATTTTTTTAAAATACCCATGTTACCCTTTTGTCTTGCCTTTAGTAAAAATTGTTACACCAACCTTTCATTTTGCTCTTATTAAAATTATGTTTTAAATTTATATGACATATTTTTTAATTCTAAATTAATTATTTTTCAAAATTACATATCTGACTTTATAATTATTTTATAGTTTTCTTCAATAAACATATGTTCATTAAGCATTTTGTTTTTAAATAAAAAATATACATGTATAGAAATTATAAAACATAAATTAAAAATTACAGAAGAAAATTAAAATAAGGACTTGTTGAGGGCTGAAGGATTTATCCACCCAAATCTAAAATCCAAAAAAAATAATTAAAAAAGACAAAAATCGAAAAAAAAAACAGGGCCGACGAAAATTTGGATGTAGAAGATGAGGGTTTTGGATATTGAAACATCCACCTGCCGCCTTTGCATACTGAAACATCCACCCGCCGCCGACCACCATCAAACCGCCGCCGACCACCACCAATAGCTCACCATCAAAACGCCGCCGACCACCACCAATAGCCCACCATCAAAACGCCGCCGACCGCCATCAAAACGCCCCCGACCACCACCAATACCTCTATTTTGGAACTCTCGGTTTCAATTTTCACTATCAAAATACTCTTCAACCACTTCCCAAGGACATAAAAAAATCGCAGAAACGACAAGGAGACGAACCACCACGAAGAAAAACCGAAAGTTGAAGAGAAGAAAAAAATTGCGAGTAATGGGTTCTGAGGTGAAAATCTTGCCTGCTTTCTTTATTTTTGATCGGGTTTTCTGAATTTTTTGGGAAGTGTTTATGAATATTTTGGAGGATTTTTTGATTTTTTTCCTATTCTTCTTTTCTTGAAGGTGCTGTAATAATTTGGACCGATTTGATGGCGAGGGAAAGAAGATAGGGGAAATAAGAAGTTATGCAAATTGTAGTTTAATCCTATAAATTTGTGTTATTTCTAATTAAATTTTTTTGAATTATATTTATTTATTAAAAGAAAATATAAGAGTTTTAGTCATGGTTTTGACCATCAAATAATATATAAAAAGGGCATTTCAGACATTTAGTGTTTTCCGTTAGTTTATTAGACGGCCGCTACAATTGGACAACCCCGGGGGGGTTAAGTGCCCAAATCGATATCAGAGAGGGGTAAAGTGTCAAACGGTGAAACCACAGGGGGGTTAAATGCAATTTACCCAAAATAAAATTAGAAGAGAGAATCCCTCAACATCTTTGGTAGTGTCCACGAAGTCGAGCATAACTCTCTCATCCGGACTCCAAATCGACTGGTTCCGGTGGCATTAGAAAGCTATTTCAGTGGGCTACAATTCCCGTCTAACGTCAAAATTCCAAATTCGGACTCGAACATGGTCAAAATTGGATAACAAAAGCGATCGTGAAAATACGTACTACAATTCAAGGACGTGAATACGCATCAAGAAACGTGCACAAAAACACTCGCTAGAAAAGATACGCACATGAGTAAAAGTTCAAAAGCATGCACAAAAGTACTCACGCAAAAGTGCATTCGCAAAAAGGATCATGAAAACACAAACTACAACCCTAGGACATTAATACAAATCAACAAACATGCACAAACACGCTCCCTCAAATGGACATGCACAAAAACGTACATGTAAAAAAACATGCGCAAAAGTGCATCCGCAACAACATTCTTAAAAACACGAACTACAATACTATGACTTTAATACGCATCAACAGACAACAGCAAAAACACTAGATAAAAAAGATACAATTGAGTGTATCAATAATACTCGACGTTTACGTTTTCGTGGATTTTTGTTTGGATTAATTTATATTTCTGTTTTTATTGGTGGATTTGGTATCTTTTAGGTACAAATCGAAAATTAGGTGTCCATGAAGCAAAAATAATCAAAGGGTAAGAAAAGAGTTGCAATTAAGAAAATAAAATAAAATTAGAAGAGAGAATCCCTCAACATCTTTGGTAGTGTCCACGAAGTCGAGCATAACTCTCTCATCCGGACTCCAAATCGACTGGTTCCGGTGGCATTAGAAAGCTATTTCAGTGGGCTACAATTCCCGTCTAACGTCAAAATTCCAAATTCGGACTCGAACATGGTCAAAATTGGATAACAAAAGCGATCATGAAAATACGTACTACAATTCAAGGACGTGAATGCGCATCAAGAAACGTGCACAAAAACACTCGCTAGAAAAGATACGCACATGAGTAAAAGTTCAAAAGCATGCACAAAAGTACTCACGCAAAAGTGCATTCGCAAAAAAGATCATGAAAACACAAACTACAATCCTAGGACATTAATACAAATCAACAAACATGCACAAACACGCTCCCTCAAATGGACATGCACAAAAACATACATGTAAAAAAACATGCGCAAAAGTGCATCCGCAACAACATTCTTAAAAACACGAACTTCAATACTATGACTTTAATACGCATCAACAGACAACAGCAAAAACACTAGATAAAAAAGATACAATGGAGTGTAGCAATAATACTCGACGTTTACGTTTACGTGGCTTTTCGTTTGGATTAATTTATATTTCTGTTTTTATTGGTGGATTTGGTATCTTTTAGGTACAAACCGAAAATTAGGTGTCCATGAAGCAAAAATAATCAAAGGGTAAGAAAAGAGTTGCAGTTAAGAAAATAAAATAAAATTAGAAGAGAGAATCCCTCAACATCTTTGGTAGTGTCCACGAAGTCGAGCATAACTCTCTCATCCGGACTCCAAATCGACTGGTTCCGGTGGCATTAGAAAGCTATTTCAGTGGGCTACCGTCTAACGTCAAAATTCCAAATTCGGACTCGAACATGGTCAAGATTGGATAACAAAAGCGATCATGAACATACGTACTACAATTCAAGGACGTGAATGCGCATCAAGAAACGTGCACAAAAACACTCGCTAGAAAAGATACGCACATGAGTAAAAGTTCAAAAGCATGCACGAAAGTACTCACGCAAAAGTGCATTCGCAAAAAAGATCATGATAACACAAACTACAATCCTAGGACATTAATACAAATCAACAAACATGCACAAACACGCTCCCTCAAATGGACATGCACAAGAACATACATGTAAAAGAACATGGGCAAAAGTGCATCCGCAACAACATTCTTATAAACACGAACTTCAATACTATGACTTTGATACGCATCAGCAGACAACAACAAAAAGACTAGATAAAAAAGATACAATGGAGTGTAGCAATAATACTCGACGTTTACGTTTACGTGGA